TAATGTAACATTGTCGCTTGTTTTTTTGTTGTGCCATCGATGATACACATAAAATCAACGATAAGGTTGAATTTCGATTTTAAAAAATAAAAAATCAATGCCGATAAGAGCCATGTTTGAATAGTGCGATAACAAAGTAAAAAAAACAAAATCTTGTTATGAGCGAATATAGTTTTATGCGCTATGTTATCACACAGTTTGTTGATTTTTATCTTATCTTTTTTTTTGAGCAATACAGGCCAAATTCGATTCTAGTGACTTATCGAGAAATTTGTAATTAATGATTACAACAAAAAAAACAAACAAACAATATTCAAGAGGCAATTTTATTTATTTAAATCTTTGAAATTTACAAAGTTTAGTTCATTTTACAAATTTAATACAAATATATTTTACAATATAAAAAACAACCAATATGTCTTTGAAGTTTGATTTTGCTTATAGCTAACAGCAGATAAATTCAATAGCTCAAACATACAAATAAATCATAAATATCGGTGACCCATAGACGAAAGTTTAAAGTATTATTTTCCAGAGATATATTTCAGCATGAAATAATAACCTGGATAAGCAGTTTGTCGATTTTTTCTATACAAGATTTATCGATTGTTAGATCATTAAAATTTGACAAACGTTGGTTTTCAAGATTTGCCATGATACAACGTCTATATTTTTTCTTGAAGATAAAATTCATTTTCTATTAAATAGGAAATCGTCACACTTGAATTTGATGAAATTTTGAAATCTGCGTATGTTGTCGAACATTCGCCAACATTGGTATGTGTACAAACGATTGACGATATTTGAAACCAGAAATATCTATTCAATTTTGGTGGATATAAAAACCGAAAAGAAAATTACATCTAACCAAGATTTTTAAATATTGATTTGAAAGTTACTCCAGAATAATTTATTTATAAAAATATTTGAATTAAAAATAATAAATTAAATTTTTTTCTAAAAAGTTTATTCACGGTATTCTATCATTCGTTCGGCCGATTTCTTGGCAAGAAGTTTGAGGGAACCCTAGCCACTGTGGCATAGTGGCTAGTGCCAAATTCAAATGGTTTGATGTGTATCAATAGATGAATGATCAAGATGCGTTGTTTTTTCAATTTTTTCAATTCTTGTTTATTTTATTTTCGACAATTGTTTTATAATCCAACTTACTATATTCAAGTAAGAAAGAGTTTGCTTTGAATCAGATATTGATGGATCTTTAGCCTCAACAATACAAACATGATCAGATTCAATTCTTGCTGTTAGATCATTGAATCTCATTTCAAATTGATCAGACATTCGATCTAATCGTGATACTATTGTTGCCATTTTATTACCAAAGACTCAACTAACTTTATTGAAATACAAATGAGTTTATATAGAACAGAAAATCACAATTTTAAGTTGAACATGAGAATGTTTTATTCACGTTCACTACATGCCTCACCACCAGATTTGCGAGGACGCCCGCGATTACGTGGCCAATATTCACGTTGATTATTATTATTATTATCAATTGGTGATGATGTTGATGATGAATGTGAAGATGAAGACATTTTTTTTTTTGATAATATTTTAAAGAAAAAGAAATTTATGATGATAAAAACAAAATAAATATTATTTTTTAAATCTATTTATATACAAAAAAAAAAAAAAAAAATCTCCAGCATCAACCATAAGGCCACAACTCATCTGATGAGGAAATGACACTGTGAATTAACTCTTCATTATTGTACAAAATATTGCAATAAAACGTAATTCAAAAATGTAACAAAAAATGTCATCATCCGAAATTTTTCGTATACAAAGCGCGCTATCAATTTTATCAAAACTGAAAACACACACAAACAAACAAAACGCTCAATTTTATCAGCAAAAAAAAAAAAAAAATCGTTCACACATAACGTATTCAAGTTCATATTCAAACATACATAGAAAAAATACGATTAAATTATTCATATTCCAAATGATGATGATCATGATAAGTAAGTGTAATAATAATAAAAAGTGTAAGTGTTATAGAAGTTTTTCAAACAAAAAAAAAAATCTAATCTTTGATTTTTTTTTAATTTCGAAATTCTAAAGAAATAATGATTCAAAAGTGGGGTCTTAACACGTTCGCTACCGGAGATTTGAGAAAACACATTGAACCACAGCAAATGGACGATGCATATATGCGTCGCTGGTAGAGAACGTGTTAAACCGAAAATCGCCACAAATTTTAAAAATCCCGCAAAAAAAGTCAATTAACATATCATAGATGGCGACACATGGTCTAAAAAGTCTTTAATTTCAAAAAAAAACAACAATGGATTTACAAATTGAAGACACCTGACGCAATAATCAATCAATCAATCAATCAACTTAACTGTGTGATTAATTATCTTTCGATGAGTCACAAAATTGGCATGATTGTCTTATCGATTATCCATCGATCATTTGTTTGTTTGATTCACTGATTGATTAGATTGATTCAAAATTCCAATTTCAAAATCCAAAGTGACAAAAAAAAAACAACAACAACAACAACATTTGGCTATTTTCTCACATTGGTTTTTCTACACAGACATTCTGTCATTATTTTTTTTTTTAAAGAAATACATTAAGTATTACAAATATGATGAGTTCCGTTTCAATTAATTACATTTTATTATCAATTTGATAATGCAGCAATCGTTTTTGTTTGATTGTTGATCTCTCTCTCTCTCTCTCTCTCTCTCTCTCTCCCTTCTCATCGCTGCTGTTGTTGCTAATCTCCGGTTTGGATTTAATTGAAAAATTAAAAATTCATAAAGATTATTGCCAAAAGGAACAAAGGAAAGATTAATGTCTTTGCTTTTTAGCATCA